GCATCTGTTGCACCCCAAATTTTACCCTCATATTTTTCTTGCATTGCCTGTATAGCATATCATGTCTGTCATTTTTCATAATACCCAATTTATCAGCTGAAATAAATTTGTCGGAATTACAGTCGAATCGGTCAAACTAAAAGTCAACTTTGTGAAAAATCAGCGGATGGAAAATTTTAAAGTCGAGCCTGAAAACGTCAGTCATATTAATCTATGTTTGTCGTAGTTTAACCTGGCGTGTCCAATTAAATTTTTCGACCACTTTTCGGTCGCATTTTGGACAATTTAAGTCATTTTATCGAGTAAAATTTATTTCAAAATCTGGCCAAACGGTATTTTTCTGAGTCGTATATTTTGCGCTGATCATTTTAGTGTACTCGGTTTATTTTTTCGAGCAATTGGACGTCCGACTTTTATTTATTTGAGTTTCGGTTATTTATATTTTTTGTCTAAATAGTTAGAATAAATAAATAAATAGAATTATTAGTTTTAATTTTATTTTTAATTTATTTTATTTTATTTAGTTTTAAATAATTATTTAAGTTGGACTTTAAAATTGGCATTAGGTTAGAGTTCACCATAGTTTGATACCTATATAAACATAAGTTGTATTTGAGAAAAGGGGGAGAAAACTTCATCAACATCAGAAATCAAGAACAGGTCATCAGAAAGAGGAAGAAGAGAGTTTTGAGAAAAACTCAGAAGATCCACCAACAAGGATCATCCAACGACGGCCATGGATCCTTTAGAGTCTCACTACCACCGGCGGACAACAACCAAGCAAAGAGCCTCAGAAGAAGCTTCATCACTGGCCAAGAACACCACCACCTCGCTGTCGAAACACCCAAAACGTAAGATTATGACATTAATGGGTTTGGTTTGGTTTTATTTAGTTTCAGGTATGAATAGACGAAGGCGAAGCAGGAGAGAAGAGGAAAGTTTCAAAAAGGATCCATGGAGGAGCCGCCGCCGGTTGGGAAGAAGAAGAAAGGAAAGGGTTTTTTCCCAAACCCTAAAGAAGGGAAAGGGATTTTTTCCCAAACCCTAAAGAAACAACACAGCGACATGATCCACCTCTCCCCCTTTATTATTACTGTTTTTTTTCTTTCTTTTTATTATTTTATTTTTCTTTTAGTTATTTATTTTTTATTGGTAATTAATAATGAGAATTAAAGTTTTAATTAAACTATTTAACAAAGAATGTAATTAAACATTAGAATTAGAATTTATTAAAATTTAGATCTTTCTTTCAAAATTAAAACCATTAATTAGAATTAAAAACTCATTTTTTTTGTAAAGATTAAAATTGGATCACTTTTTTAGTAAAACGCTAAATAAAAGTTAAACCTTTTTAAATAAAAATTAAACCCTTTTCAAATTAAAATTTAAAACCCTCCTTTAAAAAAATTTTTTTAAAATCATTATGTTTAATTTAACTCAAACTTTTTCTTAATAAATTTCTAACATTATTTATTTTTAAATTTCTAACATTTCACACTTTCATTTCTAATTTTCTAACTAAAAAAATGCTAAAATAAAAAGGCTTAATATTCCCGCTAATTATTATCTGACTTTCATATCTCTTGTTTGTACTTGGTTACTAATTTCACATTTTTACTGTATTTTCCTTTTTCGGTAGTAATTATGTGAGGCTATCGTCGCTTTTATTCTATCTTTATTTTTATTTTTTTACATTTTTTTCATGGTTGTAATTTATGCGAGTGATCGTCGCTTTACACCTCTGTTTTACTGCTTTCGTTATTTCCCCGTATTTCAATTATCGTCGTTGTAGTAATTTGACGTTTGCATCATTTTTACCGTTAACGTCCTTCCGAAGGATTAGGTCTAGCCGTTTGACCGCCGAGTCAATAACCCTAATCTTTGACCATTTCAAAACCCTAATCTTGCCTAGGTGTCTCGCCGCGGACAAAATTACCCTTTACCCTAGCATTAGGTTAAGGAGTCGCCGCACTCCGTTTTAGAGTTTCCCGCCGTGGAATGTTTAGTTAACCCTAATTTCAATTCAAACTATTTTAACGTAGAAATAGGAGTCGTCGCACTCCACATAAGCACTTCCTTAAGAAATACTTATTCCCCATTGAAACCTTGACCACAGTCAAGAAGTTTCTAACCTCCCTTTCGAGGGGAACTACGATTACTCTGATTCCATCCCCTACCTCCGATACGTAGGCACAAGATGCGAGTCTTGGCGAGTAAATTTAGGACTAACCCTTAGGTCTCTTTGTCACTCTTAACCCTTAGCTCAGTATATACTCTAAATCAAATAATAAAGCAAAATAGTAAAAATGAACAAAAGGTTCATGTAGAGTACTACAGAAGTTTAGGGTGCTAATACTTTCCCTAAGCTTAACCAATCCCTTACCTAGGTCTCTCCCCGCATTGTGCTTACGATGCAAAACTAGGTTTTTCCTTTCTTTGACATTTCCTTCGGATAAATTTAAGACCGGTTGTGAACTAAAATATGTGATTCAAATTAATTAAAAATTTGATATCCTATTCTAACCGTAACAATATAAAATTGATATTAATATTAATATAGAGATTATGTTTTTGTGATTCTTTGTGCATATCTCATCTTGTTCCATCGAGTTGAGTTTATTTTATTTAATGTCGATTGTTTGTTTCACTAATCCCTCTTTGAACATATAACATATTAAATTAATTTTGGAAATAATCATATAAAAAATTATGTTTTATTTGAAACTTATTTTACACGGATTAATGATTTTTTAGCATTCTGCAACTCATCATTTATCTCATGTTCTTTTATGGTTAAAATCTCTCTAATACTTCTAGTTTTTGTTCATCTTTCTTCCATATTTGTTCATTTTTCAAAGCATCAAATTTTATGTTTTCAAGAATAAATTAGTAGAAAAGGAAGTGTTGAATAAACAACTTGAAACATTAAAGAGATTTTAATCATTAAAGAGCGTGATATGAATGATGAGTTACATGATGCTCGAAAATAACTAATTAGTGTAAGTTGTTCTTCAAATATAACACAATTGTTCATATAATTATTTTCCTAAACAATTTTGAGAAGTTATATGTTCAATTAGAGTTTAGTGAAATAAGTATTTCACATTATGTTTAATAAACTCAATCGTGTTTTATCCGTCGTTGGAATGTCAAAACCTAGGTGCAAAGCCTTTAGACATTATCCGTCAGTTTAGTAAAAACCGAGAGGTAAAGTGATGCATTTTTTATGACGCCCTTCATTAACTCGCTTGTATAACCGTAGTTAAATCTCCTTCACGCCCGAGGTTAATTGTGTTTTATAGTAGTGTTTATCATGTGCTAAACTGTTATAAATCTGATTCTTTGAATGATCAACTTAGAAAAAAATGCAAGCTTGTTATTGTGAGATATCCAACAAGTGAATTTCATGATAAAAGTGATTGAAAATAGTAGGGTAGAGATATTCACTAGATTAGCTGCTTTGTAGATAAATAGCTACAATCATAAAGGATATTCAAAATAAAACCATATGTGCATTGAAGTTACAAATGAGACTTAGAGATTTGTCTCATTGCTTTACTATATAAATTAATGATGAGGTAAAGATACACCATAAGATCACTTTCTGACCTTTCATTGCACGACTCAACACATCACCTACACACATTTGACAAGTTATATTAACATATCATTGTCCAACATGCTTTCCATTATCGAACTCATTTACTCTCTTTAAACCGTCCATAACATTGTTTTCTATCAAACTGAACATTTGACAACTATAAATTACTTTTAATTTCGCTCATGCTCATTTAAAAAAATTGTTTTACAAAATCAACATAAGATATTTTCTAGTCTCTCTGAATTTGACATTCTTCCTATTCTATCATTTATTACTTTAATCATACATGTATATATAATATGTGATATCGCACGTTTTCAAACAACAACAAGACAAACTCATTTCTAACACATTGAGAGTCTTAAACTCTTACAACATACTACATTTATCCTCTCTGATTATCATATAGTTTCATATAAGAACAATAACCAATTAAATATATATTCAGAAAGACTAAGTTCATTCCTAATATAACTATCCCTATTAGAAAATTGAATCTCATCCAACCAACGTGTAATGCCATTAATTTTAATACCTAACAACAATCTTATATGCATAATGGTTATCTTCTCTATAAATATGAGAGATGATAAGTTAGTATTGTGTTTGCCTTTCTTTTCTCTTGTTGGTTTTGGCACCTTGTGTGGTCATTCGCCTAAGGTTTTCTTGACACTTAATTATGCCCACGTAGTATCCTTTATACTCTTTTTTTTTTTTATATATTTTAGATTTGCTATTGAAAAAAAGAATCTAACGTACAAAATTGGGCAGATAGAACCAAAACTAAAAGCATAATATTGGCCTTTTCTTGCTTTATAATCATTGGAACCCGTTGCCACATATTCAAAAAATAAATAAAATCATTGGAACCCGTTTCCACTAAAGAGAGTAAAAAAGAGAAAGAGAAGAGAGAGCATCTTATATATTCTTTTGAGAACACGTCTTGGATAAACAACATCACAACAACACAACATCTTTGCACCAAGTTAATCATAGTACTAATTAATATTAAACTGTTGATACTGAAAAAAAGTACATGGGCTAGCTAGATAGTACATAGCTAATAACTGCCGAGATACACTGATCAGCACCAACCATACTCAAAATATTATTCAAACCTAAACAAGATTCCTTTCTAGCTAGCTCGATCAAACAAAATCAAAAGAAGCAAAAACAAAAAAGAAAAAAATATGAAGAAAGTAACATTGATAGAGACCAAAAATAAGTAACTATCTCTAGCTTCAAAACATAATAGCCTCTATCACCAAACCTGAAATTGAAAAAGAAAAAAATAATACACATTATTATGCTTGCATGTAATGCAATTCTAATACACATGCATACAAAAATGTATATATATAAATTATCAGAATGAATTACCATGATGGAGAAATGAAGTTCACGACAAATAGGAAGACCTTCCAGAACTAGAGTCCCTAGGGCCATTGCATCGGTAGCACTCCATTCTATTAGCAAAGTTATGCTCGTTACAACCAGACCTACACGGTAACAATTTTTCATTTAATTGAATAACTGATATATCTGATCTATATATAAATTAAATATATTTGATATTTTATAAATTACACAAATTATAGTGAGAACCTGGTGCATATCCAGTCACCGGATTTCCACCCGGGGCGGGTGGAGGCGCCTCCTGCGCTACCGCCTCCAAAACCGTATGGTGATCTCAATAACCTTGGCATGTCTGAGGAGTCAGAGGAGAAGGTGTCAATATCCTTAGGGGCACCACATTTGAAGCAGCTAGAGCGGCTGGCAAAGTTGTGAGCTCCACAGTTACCAACAGTACAGTACCAGTCACCTGGGCGGACATCAGGGCCAGTGGTGAAAGGAAAAGGCGAACTAGAGCCTCTTCCGCCACCGAATGCTACACCGTAATCACCGCCACCGCTAGACACCGATTTTGATTCACCGCATCGTTGGCAGGAATCTCTTCTCTGAAAGTTGAGGTGGTTGCATGCCCTGCAGTTCCAATCTCCTGGTCTGTTCATCTTTCCCTTGATTCAAAACTGTAGAAAATAGAAAAATAAGAAATAGAATGAATGTGAATCTTTTACTGTTATGTCAGTTGTAACAGTAGTAACTTACCACACTGATATGGAGATGTAGTTGAGTAGAAATATTGAAGTATAAGAGAAGTAGTGAGTTATAGTTGAAGTTGGGAAGAATGTTTGAGATTGTGGTAGTTTATATACTGCCAAAATTCCAAGTCCCTTCTCGATATTTGGACAGATCTCTAGCCAGTGCGCACCAAGTAGGGTAGGGTAAGCCTCCTTCTTCTTTTTGGATTCCTTCAAACCATTATTTGTGATTTCATCATAAACTATATTTAGATAAAGGAGTCAAAGAATTTTCTTTTTTGAATGGATATCCCTTAATATACACACCAAGGTACAGTATATCTTTAATGCACATTTCAACATATGTCATGTTTTCAAATCAATAACACAAAGTATGTAATATATTAATTTCATTATTTTTGGTTTAAAAAGTGAAAATCATTATATTGAAAGCTACATTGTAAATGATCTAAAACAATATAAGTAAATCCACCATAAACAATATGAATATAAAAATGAATACACAAAATTTATTTATTCAAATCGATCTAACATATCTACTATGAAGAAGATAGAAGTTCTCTAATTCGATCATTATATTTTTTTAAATTATTATATGAGATTACAAATGAATTTAAATAAAATAGTCATTCGAATTTTTAAGAACAACTCTATTTTTTACGCAAATATTTGTAAATTTCTAATTCTATACATATGAATCACATAAATTCAACCTTGTTAAAATTATTTTTCAATCTTGTTAAATATCTAAAAAAAATTTCCAAATTTCAATGAATTTATACCACTAACTCTCTAACTAAGAATACACCTCTTATGTGTCTTTGTCTCTTAACTAACAAAAGTGATAGACATGTATATTTATAAATGTTGAAACCTAACATATCGAAAACAAGTCTAAAATACGGTCAGATATTCTATTCTCTACACCTTTTTTTTTGTATTTTTTTTTTCTCTTGCTGAAATTTATTGTCATCGGAGTACCTTGCAGGTACACCCCCTCCTCTTCTCCACCACCGACGATTGAAGGAGCTCACGACGTGTACTGCATGCTGATCCTTTTTTGATCCAGTAAGATATATATATATATATATATATATATATATATATATATATATATATATATATATATATATATATATATATATATATATATATATATATATATATATATATATATATATATATATATATATATATATATATATATATATATATATATATATATATATATATATATATATATATAATACCCTATATTTCTCTTAAATGTTCAATTGGGTGTCACTTGGGATCAACAGAGTTTTCATGTATTCTAATTTGTGTCAATTGGAATAATTGAAACTCTTAAGTGCTCTAAATGTTATCAGTTGAGTCCAATGCAGTAACCAGTGAACTCTGAAGAGATCAATTATTAATTAAAGAGACGGACCAATATAAATAAGTACAAGAGAAGGTATTTTAGTAACCCTAATATTTGGTTAATATTTGGTTAATCGGGACCCCAGCCAGGGGCTCTGCCCCTTGGAACCCCACGGGGCGCTTCCCCGCACCCCGTTAGGGGCTTCTCCCCTTGGAACCCCTTTTCAATTATTCGCATTCAATTACACGTTGGCTCGACGAGCGTGCACTCCGCACTACCCTAACTCGCTTCCAAGTTTAACGCATAATTGCATCGGCCTACAATAAATCACATTACTACTAAAATACATTGATGATACTAAAATCACCAACATCAATTTGGAATGAACATTTGTTTTCGATGGGAACTAATATTAACTTGCAAACAAGGTTCTTATTTGAAATGTTTAATCTAGGAGGACATTTCATATATACTTTCTCATGTAAATTGCCATGAAAAAAAAAAAAGACAGTATTGATATCTAGTTGATGTTAAAACCATATTTTAGATGAGACGATATATATGGGAAGTATAATAACGCTGGTCAGTTTTACTACAAGACTAAATATTTTATGATAATCTAACTCTTCTATTAGACTTACAAGCAAAAGTCATGTCAAAGTGCAAAGAATTAAGCAAAAATCTATTACAAGAAAGAAATAAAGATCTCGTAAAAATATTCAAGAAAAAGTGAATAAAATAAATCTTTGACTACTATATTTCTCACATGCGCAATGCATTTCATTGTGGTGCAATAAGATTTGCATCGCGGCGCGATGCAGCAGCATCGTGGCATAATGACGAGCTTTTTGGTTACACATATAATTGGTATTTAAAGGTTTTTTTGTCAACTTTTTCAAGAGTTCTGAAATTTGGAGATAAAGTGACGATTAGGAATATTCAAGCATAAAATTTTGATAGCATTGGAGTCATTGAAGAGATATTCTTCCATATATTTTGATGATAAACATTTATAAACTCATGATATTTGTTAATTTATTCATGAGTAGCTAAGTTTCTCTAGATTATGTCTTTTTGAGATGAACCTTATTATTACTTTGTTGGATCATATGATTGTTTGATATTTATTGAATAATTTTATCATTATTATCTTATTTAATTGTTCTTGAGCTTAATGCTATTTGTTTGTTTACGAGCATACAAATCAATATAGATAATTAAAGATTTCTGACCATTAGTCTATTAATTTGATCTAAGGCATTTATTCGACTTTGTAATTAACTAGGGATAAGTAATTAGAAGTCATTGTTTTTGAATTAACGCACTTAAAACGCCTAATTAAACTTTGAATTGACCTAAAGAATTAGAGAATTTTCGTATAAATTAGTGAATTGCACACCAAAGAATTAAGTGCATAGTAGTCTTGTTAGTTCACAGTGAGATGATAATTTAATTGAAACTCAATGAATACATAGTTTGTCAGTAGGTAAAATTAGGGGATTCAATATAAAAGACCTAATCGCTTTTCTAGGGATGACAGTGGGCAGAGTTTGGGCAGGATACTATAGTACTCATCCCCATATCCGCGATTTGAAAAAATCTTTGTACCTGAACTCATACCCGCTTGGGCACCAAAGTTAGTACCCGTATCTGTGTCTTATGAGTATGTAAGTACCTGTATCCGCACCTATTACCCGCCTTCATATTAAAAATAAATAGATCAATTATAAAAGATCATATTATTTTAAATTTTTAAAAACATTAAAAAGTTTTCAAAAAATTTATTGTTGTAACAAACGAACACTTATATTAAATACGTAATGGTTTAACATTTATATACATTTTAAAATTGATAGACATACACTTTTATATAATAATATAAATTAAAATATATAAATATAAACTAAAAAACATAAATATATATTGTGCGAGTATGAGTGTAAGTAGTAACTGCGCCTAAGAGGGGGGTGAATTAGGATCTTTAAAAAATTATTAGCAATCTTGTTAAGGTTCCTTGGATCTTTTTCTTGGTTGTTAAGTTATTGACGGAAAGTAAAGGAAGAAAGAAAAAGGCACAGGAAATTATAGTGGTTCCCTTCACACTCCGAAAGTACTCCACTCCCCTTTCGACTCGAAAGAGTATTTCACTATAGTTCAGAATTTTTGTAAAGCCTAATCACATCCAAAGTGATGCTTACTATCTAAACCTATAGGTAATCAAAGTGTTGAAGAACAATCCTCTTCAATACACTTCACTTGTTTCCAACAATCCTGAATAACAAGGTAATACATAAAATATTCTTGATAAAATAATTGATAGAAAGTTGTTTATCAATCTTCAAGGTTGATCTTCTTCTCGAAACAAATTATACTCAGATAAGATATACAAGTGTTCTTTGTGAAAGAAGGTTGTGAGAGTGTGAAAATTATTTCAATGGCTTCTTTCAAAATATGATTTGAACACTTAATGAAAATTCAAAAGGTTGAAGACAAAGAGTAATTTGATTAAATTGTTTCTTGAAGGTTGTTTTTGATTTTGAAATAGCAATCAATTTATACTGGTGAAAAACCTTTCCAAAAAGGTGTGATTTTGGGACAGTAAAAAATAGCTAGTAAGAAAATATAGAACAATGCAATTCTCCATGAAAAGCTGCTATTTTTTGTTGTTGTTACGGTGTTAATCGGTGATCCAAATAGGTTAATCGGTTAACACCTTTCCAACGTTTAAAAATATTTGAAATTTTCATGTGTTAATCGGTTAACCCATATGGTTAATCGGTTAACACTGTTGTAAAGTCCCAAAAACATAATTTTAGATTGTGTTAATCGGTTAACCCATATGGTTAATCGGTTAACGCTGAAGGTTTTTGTAAAAATACTTAATTTTAAATAGAAAGAGTATTTTAAAAATGTTTTGAAAGTATTAGTGTAAGTGGTGTAGTGAAATGTGATTTTTAAAGAACACTTGTATAAATTTTCTAAAGTAAAAAATGTTTATACCGTTCTTTGAATCACCATTTTCACTTGTAGCTTGTAGGTGAAGCTTTGATCGATAAAGTCATATGCGATGACACTCTCTTGATCTTTGTTGATCTTGTTTGCTTGCTTGCGTCTCTTGCTTTTTGCGAAGACTTCAGATGAATGATGATTCTGGTTTCATCTTCAATATATATCCCTACGGGTGTACTTCTGGTTTTATCTTCAATATACCCCTACGGGTGTATGGTATAGGCATCTTCAATATATATACCCCCACGGGTATATAGCATAAGTATCTTGCGTACCAAGCTTGTATGAGTTGTCTTTATCAAAACACAAAGGTCTTGAAGCTTGCTTCTACAATCTCCTCCTTTTTGATGATGACAACCGATTCTTTGAAAAATTTCTTTGATACTTGGTTCATTACATTTCTCCCCCTAAGTTAGAGAGCTCCCCCTAAATACAAGAGAGATACAATCCTTCTCCCCCTTAGACATAAGAGAGATACAATATTTCTGCACAGGAAAATGTTAAAGACCAATCCTTCTCCCCCTTTGTCATTAGGAAAAAG